AAAAAAAAAAAAAAAAAAAAAGAAGTGTGAAGTAGTGAGGGACTGCCGTATTCCAATTATGTGTATATTTAAATTAAACTCTATTAATTGAACAAAAAAAAAAGTTTTCACCTTGGAAAATGTTTTAAAATACTGTTTCAGGTTACACACAAACAATGGTACTGTTAGCTGCTTCATGACTTTAAATTTTACAAGACAATATCAAAGAGTCCATCAGTGGAGAAATAACAAAATTTAAAGAAAAGTAAGGGTAGCAAGTCTCAACACTGTGTGCATGTGGATTAAACATCAAATCCAATTACCTTGCAGCAGGTGATATTGATGCAGCTGAACAGCAACTTTGACCACCTGCATCAAAGCGCTAAGCCTGTTTTGCTTTGATGCCAAACACACATGCACGTGAATGGGTTTGTGTGTGAGCTATTGGTCTGGAGGGTAAATTACATTAATCAATACCATGGCTTAATTATGGTCCCACTGTTATACTGTAGAGACCTTGATGTTTCCAAAGAAGGTACTGCATTCATTAGCATGCATTATAGCAAAAATATGAATGTCCTGTTTATATAGAGGGAAGTAAATGAGTGTCTGTTTAAAGTCTAATCCTTTTCATATGTCGCCACTCCTTCATACTGAACTCATATTTCCAGACTTGGTATAACAGTTTCAGTGACATTAATTGATTAATAAACTATTCCATTGGAATAGATGTGCATTATAATCCCAGAATATATATATATATTTTTTTTTATTTAAAACATGGCGTCAACAGACTCAGAAAACAAGGTCATAATTAGATTTTCAAACAACTATTAATAACTACTTAGAAAAATAAAAATCAAACATAAAACGGATAGCAAAACAAAGCAAGTGGAAATGGGTTAATAGCATAAAAAATTGTCTCCTCCTAAACTCTAGACAAATACAATAAACAAACAAGCAATTATAACCTGCAACAACACATAACAGGGAAAGTAAGATTACTTGTACGTTAAATGTTGACTGGTTACCTTGATAAATGGTAAGAGCATCATTAAATCCACATCAAATAATATAATGTTTGGTTCTTTCTTAATGTTTGAATACATACAGTATATTAAGGTCATTTACTAAACTTGCACATGAAATAAACACACCAACTGACTGAAAGAGGTCAAATAAATATGCTGGCTTACCACACTGAAATTCATCTGCTCCATCTTCACAGTCTTTTTGGCCATCACACAGCCAAACACTAGAAATACAGTTCCCACTTGGACAAGCAAAGTGACCCTCCTCACACTTCTGCCCTTGGGAAACTGGAGCATACAACAAAATCAAGTCATTCTACTAGGCATTTGCAATGATTGAAGTCATTATCATTTCCTAAGCTCTCTCTGGATCTCTTGTTCCACTGGCATAATCATCTCTGGAAATGAGTCTTGAATAATCTTTAACTGTGGCTGGCTTTCTCGATCTGCCTCTGAATGAACAGGCAACATGTGTGTCTTTGTGAATGTTTAAATTGCTGCTCACCCTGGCAGTTGGTCTCGTCGGCATAGTCACCGCAATCATTTGCACCATCACAGATCCATGACGGGTGGATGCACAGTGAGGTGGAGTTGCAGCTGATGAAATCTTTTTCTTTCACACCCAGCTTATAAAAGTGAGAGCATTCTGTGTGGTCTGAATACAAAACACACCACCACAATAACTTCCTTGTCACAATGCCACTGACAGGAGAGGCAATGGTAAAGGTGCAGTACTCAATCTGATCCAAATAGTGAACAACTGACTAGATATATTTGATTTGCATGAGACGACTTGTGTCTTTTATTAATTCTAATTTTATTTTCAAGTACTTACTGCAGTTTCTTTCATCTGAGGTATCAGCACAGTCAATGACTTGGTTGCACCAGGCTGAGATAGGTACACAACTCCCATCCTTGCAAGACGATTCTGATGGGCCACATGTGATATCTGTTAGACAAACATATGTATTTCAGAAACTTAGGTCAAAACAGTACCATTTACAACTACCTCTTCCTTACAGTAGTAAAAGTTATATCTTTTATAGTTTTTTTTTTTTTTTTTTTGTAGATGGACAGCATGTGCCATACATCTTCATTGCATTCAATCCCACGTTAATGCTGTCCAGCACAATTAGTCTTTAAAAGATGTATCCTGGTAGTTTTGGTTAAGGTTGTCATTAACTATTCGCTGCCATTTATGTTTAGTTCTGTTTTTTTCTAATCAGTGTATAACTTATAAATGTTGTATTTAAATGTTCTACAAGATATATATTTCATTTAAATGAGGGGCTCAAAAGAGCACACCATTCTTAGTTATATTTTCTTTAATCCAGGACTGCTGAATTGGAAAGACCTCATTAATTGTCAAACCGCTGCTGCATGGTCAAAATCTCCCTGTGTTAACATGCTCCCAATATCATTAATTATAAAATAAAAATAACAAGAACTGCAAAGTTCAAAATTCCATCAAAGATAAAATCCCTCCAGCAAAAGCGTTAATAATGCCGTTGGAAAAAGCTGTCATAGATAGTAGCTGGGAGTTTCTTTTAATTTGGACACTCCTTATGATTTTTGGGCTCATTATCACACTATGTGGCCCTGTGTGATGGATTAACTTAAGCATTAGCAGGTCTTGAATCTGCTCTCCGAGGAAGGATGGCTAGAACATGGCATCAAACGGCTGCAACTCACTGTTACAGAAAGCTTCATCAGAATGATCCCCACAGTCATCGGTGCCGTCACAGAAGCGGCTACTTGCCACACAGCGTTGGTTGTAGCAGGGCCGGAAACCGCTTCGACAGCTCCTGTTGTCTAAAAAATAAATCAATTAAACAAGGATGGTGCAACTGAATGCAATTATTTTTAAACACTAGGAATTATCTGCCGTCTTCAGACTTAAAAAAATATATATATATATATGAAAGAACATTGATCAAACCAACAGGGTAGAGTTTATATATATCTCTTTTACCAAGATTTGTAATAGTTCTCTTACCACAGTACTGCATCTTCTCATCTGATTTATCTTTGCAATGAGCTACTCCATCACACGTTAGTTGGTATTTTATGCACTCCCCATTTCCACATTCAAATTCTGTGTAAATGTTGCATGACGAGTTCTCTGCTGTAGGAAACACAAAAAATGCAAGGTGATGACAACCAAACGTGGCTACCTCCTAAATAAGAAAATCTAGTCTTTCTTAAAAAAAAGTTACATCATTTTGAGATTTTTTACCTGCTTCTTTTATTCTATAAAACTTGATTATAACTTGTTTCAGATTGAGTACAGCTAAAGCTCCTGGAGACTTACACACACATCTGTTGTCATCTAACAGCACACGTTCTCCCCGACAAGAGCAATTGACCCTTCCATGTGGTGTCAGGAGACAAAGGTCACCACAGCCTCCATTCATGTGCCGACATGGGGACAACTCACCTTATAGAACAAACAGAATGAAACAGACATGCCAAAGTAGGAAACATAAATAAATACATTTAAAAAAAAATCTAAAAAATAACTAGTTTGTAATAAATCCATAAAGATCTCAACAAATTGTGTGATTAATATTACAGTTATGTTGAAGTGTTTGAGCCTCTATTATATTTAAATCTTAAGAACATCTGGGACAATGTAATTGTATTCCTTTATAAAGTTGTACAACTACAAGAGGTTGCTTTGAGTTATCTCTACCTTTGCCTTTTTTTATCTGAACATTTTAGTCTTAGACTATCGTTCACTGGTTTATAGATATATTGAAAATTATTTTTGTCATTCTCATCACATACAAGGAAATCTATCAGAAGTTAATACAAAGTTTGATAAATATCAATGGAAATATGTTTTCACTCACCTCCTAATATTTGCATAATCTATCAGGAATTGTGAGTGAAAAACCTGGTAACAAACATAGTTTATGCGTTCAGTTGGTAAAACTGCTATGGGAATAACAGTATGGAAGTAAGCGAGTGACAATTGAAAATAGATTTAGCTTGTAAAATGCATCAAGGATGTTTTCATAGATAGAACTACAGTAAAATACAGTTTAGTGTATAACTTAAAGTATATCTTAGATCCTTATATACTTATATATTATGCTGCTGATCTTATGTTGCTGATTTATTTCATGCTGCTGTATTCATTCATACCCATCTGCTTACATAGATTCATGTTTGTGCTGCTGTTGTTCGGTGTATTGTTTTTGTACTATTAGTGCTTAGTGTATTCTTAGTTTAGTGTATGTCTTAGTTCATTTTTTAGATTTTAATACTGTTTTTCTTTACAATATATACTTTTGTTGGCTGTAACTGGGACCCTGTGTACACAATTTTGTTTCACCACATGTGGTGCAAATGACAAATGAAGAAAACTTAACCTTATATACTTTCTCTTTTTATATTTTGTATTTTTGCTATTTTTTGGGGGTGTAACTGGGACCTTGAGTACACAGTTTGTTCCACCTCATGTACCACATGTGATGCGAATGACAAAGAACCTTGAACTTGAACTTGAACTTGACACAGTGTGTGCTTGTCCTCTCTAGACACTCTGTTCTATTGGATTCCTATGAAACTAAATTACATTAATCCATTCTGCAGCTCAGGTATCCCAATTATGAGATTATTTATATCCAAGATAGTAATGACTAGCACAATTAAATCAGAACATAACAATGTAAAGGCAAAACAAGATTAGGTGATGTTCAAAATCAACATATCTGTTCATTGCACATGAAACTATAGACTGCAGTTGCACATATTCAGGTTACAAAATGCAATTATTTCCATAACAAGATAAACAAGGAAATTAGTTTATTTTGCTATTTGAATCCAACCAGTGGGATGTGCTTAAGCCCACATCTCTTTGTCCTACTTGGAAATTAAACTTCATATGACACTTAAGAGACTCCCTCTACAACATAAGCTACTTTTTTTTTTTTATATTATTATTAATTACCGCAGAGGTTTACGTTTCCAGACATTCTAAATAAGACCACTTTCACTTAATTCATTATTTAACATCAAATTAAAATGTTCTTTTAAATATGTTGCTGTTAGGTGGTAACTAATAACTATATATGTGTTTTTTATGGGCTAATGCTAATAGTGTTTGAAATCATTTTTATTACCTCTTCAAGGGTTATTGGAGTTTAACAGCATCAGAACTGTAGGGGAATAAACTTCAAGGTCTAACAAATAAAGGATACTTGCAATATGCGATGAAATAACACCACTGTATACTTTTTTGAATAGTACGTTTGCAAATCCTTGCAAACAAACAAACAAACAATGCAATTGTATGCAAAAACAAACAAACAAACAATAACCTAACTTATGCACAGAGAACACAAATGTTCTTAAATTCTGAATGCACTGCTCACAAAAGATAGTTTATCTTTCGGTGTTCATTTACTCACAGTTATTGGTATCCTTGGCCATGGCTATAATTCCCATTGGCTGATGAGGTATATCTGCTCGAAGTACCTTTGTGTCACCACCAGTGTACTTGTTTGATCGTAGCACAGCTCGACGGGCCCAGTCTGACCAGTAGATGAAATCTGCATAGATGGCAAGGCCATAGAAGTTTCCAGGCCCTGATTTGACAATGACCTAAAAGGATGTGGAACAATCAGAATCAGAATCAGTTTTATTGTTGTTGCACAGAACACAACAGAATTCCATTTCAGTACAGCCCATCCGGAGAACCACAAAAAAAACAAACAGACACAGATATGGGTAGACGGGGTGACTGAGGCAGCAGCCTATGAGAGTCGCTCCTTTTTTTTGTTAGATTAGAAAAAGGGGAGCACGAGGAAAGAGGCGAGCAAAAAAGAAATAAAAATCCCTTCAGGACACAGCGTGAGGCTGCAAAAAACCCCAGCACATAAAAAAGCAACAGACATATGCGTGTGAAGTGGGTGGGGGTCCCAGTGCAGGTTGCCAGGTGAGCGACACAGCCATTGGCGCCCTCACATATCCTAGGTTTATGCACCAGGGGAGGGCAATGAGGGAAGTCAGTGAAGGCATGATTTGAGGAGCCAGAGCACCCACTAGCCATAGTCCTGATAAGAGGTGGTGCAATGTTTATTAGCTGGCTCGGTTGAGCTCTGACACAGGTCCATGTCCTTGGGCAGGGGAGTGGGAGGGAGGGGGGAGCAGAGCATCTTCTCTCCATAACATCCAGGAGAAATTGAGATAGTCAGCCATCCAAGGCCAGAGCCCGATTCAGATCAACATTTGTTTTGGGTCATGCCGAGCTCTGTTAATTTCGGTCTGTTTTTACAGTCTCACCAGTACATCTCATCATGTCGACTTCAAACAGACAAAATCGCGATTACATATTTCAGGTTGAGCTTACAACTTCTCCAAGATCTATTCCTTCCCACCGTCCGTGAACACTACCAGAAAGTTCCATCTCTGATACAGGTCCACAGATAGTTCACACAGCATAGTCTGAGTGTTGCCAAGCATAGCACATTCTTCATAATTTGTCAATAATTCAAGTGACCACCAGTTCCAAAAAGCAGAAATCCTATTATCATAAATCCAATTATGTACATCACCCAGGAATAGTGTTCCATTGAGGTAATAGGGCTCTCCTTCTCCCTGTCTTATTGTTGAGAAAATTTGATCAATTTCATTGAGAGACCAGCTGACCAGTCCATAGTTTACTATTTGGAAGATATGCACAAAGAGGCTCTGAGAAAGGTTCACAGGACAAAGAGTAGAGCAGGGACAGAGCAGAGGAAAGAAGCATCTGCCTTCACAGAGGGCAAGCAAGAAAAGAAAATAAGGCGTAGTTGGTAGGTTGCAAACTAAGTGACATACACAATCCAACTTTAGGATATGAGATTTCTTACACAGACATAGTTAATATTATAATTATGATGTGTGTACTTCAGCTGTTTGAATTTCATTCTCAAACATCTTTTGAAAATACAATGTGGTAGCATGCTGATAGACTTCTGAGCACAACCCTATGAATAAATAAGAGGAGAATGCTTCCTCTCATTAATCAACAAATCAACCCCTGCTGCCAACTTGACTGCTTAACCCAGATGTTGGGGGAGTAAATGACAGTGCCAATGGCAGTGAGGCAAGAATCCATCAGATGTCTCCTTCTGGGATTCTCCAGCCTTTGTGGAGGATCAGGGACTCCAACAGCTCAGTAGCCTCAGCCATTAGTAGGACAGGCTTGTAAGCGACATCACATTACCCTTGTGCCATTCTGGGATTAATAGGACAGGTGTTGATTAAAGGAGCCCAGTGTGTGGAAGCAACAACTGGCCATCATGCAAGTGAGAGACAGTGAAAGAAAATGAGGTGAGAGACAGATGGGGCAGGGGAGAGCATACTGATAGGAAATTAGATTTGGGAGATATTAGGTGTACAGCCTGTGACACATTAGTTTTGTGTTGAGATTTTGTTTTGAGTAAATGGGGAACTATTTCAATAAGTGTCACCATTGCTGGCCAGCAATATTCAGAAATGATGTTTTAATCAAGAAATGCTTAAATGGCACTGGAGCCTCTACACTGCTCGAAAATATCAAAAAAAAAAAAAAAAAAGGAAAAGCATAAGCATACTCAAAGAGATTGTAATACAGTTAATTAATTTACAAGCCATTCATAAAGTTATCATCTATTTTTAACTTGCTGACGTGTATTGTCATCGTTAATTGTGTGTCTCCACTTTCAAAACGACAGAGATGAGAAACAGGAACCTTTTCTATTCCCAGTTTTACTGTGGTACCACTGCAGTTAAGAGTAGTAGCAGTGTGACAACAAAATGCCTGCAAACAAAGTTTATATTGAAATGACTCCTAACAAACCTGCTGTATTTCAATGTCTTATCACTTTTGTTTGAGGTTTCTAGTTTGTTATAATCCTGTAGCTACTGGCAATATTTTGATAATTTGAACACATCATTGTCATGTGAAATTAAACAATAGCCTTCAAACTAACAAGGTCCCTAAAGCCTCCACAGCAGGCGGGGGTGAGGTGGGGTGACATATGCAATGTCTAAAGACATCAACTGCAGGTAGTTTAGAGAATTAAGTTAACAATCAACTGTTGGCTTAATTTACACATTTTAATTGGAATAGAAATTCTATAGCCAGAGAAATATTACTGCAAAGCCTTAATTAGCAGGACTAGACTGCGGCAAGTGCAGGTGGGGTCTCAAAGGTGAAGACTTTCTGAGCATGGCGACCTAGCTCATCACACGTATGGGTAACTAATTGAGATGGGCCAGAGTGCTGAGCCACAGAGGCCATGTTGAGCAAAAACTAGGATCTGTGGCAGAAAAAGGTCATCTTGTACTGTAATCCTCCATCTACCCTGGACACAGCTGGTTGGGATGTCATGCATTATGCATGAAACTTTTATGGACCAAACGTGAACTAACTTCACTGAGTTTTATTTACTTTAGCAAGGACGGACTGTTGTGATTAAGGAAACCATCTGTGCCCTCTGAAAGGAAATAAGACAACTTCAAAAAGTATTTCAAATCCCATCTGTTGTGTTGAAGGTCTTGTTCCAGGAGCTCAGCTGTATGAAAGATTAAATGAAATAAAAAAATGTTTTCTTTTCAAAGCAGGAAGACAGTTTGACATTCTATTCATGAGAATGCACCTTTTGCCAAGTGCAGTTTTACATTTCAAAGACAAACTGCATCTGGTCCAACTTTAATGCTTTCAAAACATTTGAATACGCAGAAATATAATCTATAGAGGCGTGTTAGAGGTTGTAATGAATACCACAATTTATAATAAAAAAAAAAAGGCTGCATGTATTGTGAAATATGCATTATAGTGCATCATAAAGCTCTAAAATAAAATTTAATAAAATTAAAATTTAATACAAAAGACCAAAAGTAAATATGAAAAATTTGAGTAATTAAACACTGATATTGTCCGCCTCATCGAAAAAAAATAAATCAATAAAAATAAAATAACACTATTGTGGTGTTAAAAGGCTGCAAAAATTCCACACAGAAAAATTTATAGGATCCAGACTTGATGGCTTTTAGTATATTGATTAATGTCAATGTTTAATATTTTTTTCCAAATAAACAAACAAAAAAAAAAAGCACATTTAATATGATTTTTTTAGTTAATAGAACATTTTAGTTCTGCAATAAATACATAGAAATTGTACAGTAAACTTCTGTCATTAAGAGGACATGCTTGCTATACAAAAAATAAACTCAAACAATCTAAAATGATACATTTAAATAAAAATGTACACATTTTTTTTGCAGAAAACAATACATTTTGACACTCCTCCCCCCTCCCCCATACTAATAGGACTAGATCATTCATACTCACAAATCGACTGGATCCATCATAGTCACATCTCTCAATCCTGCCAAGGCTACCGTCAGAAAAGTAGAGCTTCTCTGATTTGTGGTCAATCGTCAGTCCATTGGGTGTCAGGATGTCAGAACTAATGACAATCATCATGTTCTTGCCAGCTAAGGTGGACCTCATGATGCTGGGCCTCTGCTCATTCCAGTTGGTCCAAAACATCAGGCTGAACATGAACAAATGGACAATTAATTTGAGCAATTCCTGTGCAATTCTAATTTTTCTTAAATTTTATACAACTTTTTCACAGTTGAAAAAAAAAAACTGACATATCGCACTACTTGTTACAAACTTATTACATCTCAGTGAAAGGAGTTACTTATTGCACAACAACAAAATTAATGCCTTAAATGTGTATGAATTTATTTATGCAGAACATGCACGATAAAAGATGACATTATCATTACTGAATTAAGGTTGTTGAATATCTGTGCAGTTGAAATATCTCAATGACTTCATGTGTATGCTCTGAAACACTCTGCTAAAAAAAAAAAAAAAAAAGTTGTGGATTACTTCCTAGTATTTGACAAAGATTTGCAGGTTATGTGAAAAAAAAAAAAAAAAAGTAATTTGTGCTGCATTTTAGAGTGGAAAAAAAAATATTATATATATATATATATATATATATATATAACATATAGCAGCAATGGCACAAATTAATTTAAAGGTTATTAGAATATTGGTATGTGATTGCAATAATGAGGGTTCACATTTTAAATCCACAGCTGCATGGACAAAAATGTGAAGAAAAGCTAAATTAAATTAGAAATAACATAAATATGTATTCTAACCCTGGTCTAGCTTCTCATTATGCAATAAAGTCGCAGCATCGGATTAAAAGTCACAACTCAAGTTTAACAATAAATTATTTAAGTTTGAATTGTAATTATCAGACTAAGAATCTAGAGTGTGATGGATGTGGTGCCAAGCTGATAACCAAGGTTAGTTTAAGGTCAAGAAGTTAATTTAGTTGTTTTAACAGGAGCAGCAGAATACTCACTCTGACTGCTCATTGAAGGATTTTTACATCATTCATGTTAAAATTGTAGTTTTTAATACAACACTGTACTATTCTTTTATTCCTATTCTTTAAAGATGATAATGTGCAACAAATGAAATGAATAAACGATGATTTAAATTATATGGAACAACCTTGCAAATAATCCAATTACCTTAGTTTATTTCAAGTGGGGGAAACAAAAATCTAATTAAAATACTAATATAAAGGATAACTCAAGTGTTCGGATACCAATTGTTTATTTTTTTCCTGCATTTGATAACACTAAAGAGAAAAAAAAAAAGATCTAAGGCCAAATCAAACTGGCAGTATTTTTATTTTGTGTTGTTTTTGTTTAGATTATACACATTTATAGCTGTATTACTTTGATACGTTATTGCATTCAAATAGGAATTTTCATCAAAATTCAAGTTTTTTTTATCTTTTAGAGAAACCAAAACAGACATAAAATATGTATAAAAATACTACTCAAGTAATAAAACTCAAAACAAAACAAAAACTATATATAATAATGCAAGCAAGTACAACATAACTTTTCATTGAAACTGCAAAACTGATTCATAATAAAAATAAGAGTGAAATTATTACTAACAGTAAGGTTAATTGGATTTATTTCGCTTGTATTCCTCTGTCTGTGTTTTAATATATTTAAACACTAAGTATATGAAACCTTCACCCAGTGAACATCTTGGCTGCATTTTAACTCCCCAGTCAATCAATAAATTTACAAACAAGTAAAAGTATCATTAAAAAAAAATATGTATATAAAGAAGGCTCCCAAATTATTTTTTTAAATGAATAGTTAACATAATAAAAAGGTTGGCTGTGTTCTTGCATCTTGTAAATTTCACTTGTATGCATCTCTTTGTTGTGGACCTTTTAGTTTTCTTTGAAATAAATGACGTGTGGAAGGAAGTCTGATGTCCTCTTTATGAATTTAGACTTTTTTTTTTTCATTTTTCTTTTTAAAAATCTATTATCATTTTGTTATTTGCAGATCTAAGAAAACTTCAAAGCAGTGCATCACACCACAATAAACTCAGAAGTCTGGATTTTGGAATTAAGTAACAAATTCAACATTTTCAAACACTGGCTAGAGAAGTATGCTGACGAAAGAGCTACTGACTTTTGACACTCATCCAGAGCCAGGACATGTGGGTGGTCTTCCTCCGAAAGCGTGACCACTGCCTGCCTAGGGAAGGCACCAACTCGTGTCTGGTCTATAGACTTTCTGGTGATGGTAGAAGTGGTGGTGCTGGACCAGTATAAGGTGTCCCAAGCCCGGTGGTAAGCCAGACCTTCCACTGAACCCACATCTTTGAAACAACACAATATATAGAGACACATAATTACAAAATAATATCAACAATCAACAAATACCTAACCTCTTCGATATAAAACATAACAGGAGCAGTGAAACAAGTTTTTTTTCAAGGTTTTTAAAAGCTATGCAAAAGTGCATTCCTGATTATTTTCCTCATACAATGGATCACTCTTTCCAAAAATAAAACCAACATTCTAAGGGATACTCACAATTTATATTTCTACATAAATCAGGACACGGAAAACAATGTGACCAATAATTGTCAATGTAACAAATGACATATGCAATTTATTTGTTCTGTTTAGTTCATACTGAAAACATTGGTATGATTATTTGACTATAAGAACAACAATATATATGCAACACTGCTGCTAGATGCTGCTATAAAAGAAGTCTAATTTTTCCATTGAAGATATTCTAAATAGTTTGCCAATGAATTAACAAAACTGACCCATCCATCCATCCATCCATCCAGCCATCCAGCCAGCCAGCCAGCCAGTCAGCCAGCCAATCAGTCACACTTGCATCAGCTTTAGCAGACTACTTCCCTTTACCCAGGTACCACCTCCATTTGATCTGTGAGTCATTTCCAAGGCAGCTGAGAAATATAATATCTACACCAAGGTCTGCCCATAGGTCTGCCTTAGGGGAAAACCTAGGTTGGATAGATTTTCTTTTTCAGCTTATTTTTTAGGGATCGATTAAATCCAGCCTCTCTGCAATGGAAACTTATTTCAGTTACTTGCATTTCTTTCTTTCATTCTATTTTTTATTTTTTTATTTTTTTTTTTTTTTGGGGGGCAATGCCTAAGTCTGTAAGTGAAGCCTGGACATTGAACACTATCACATTCAAGAATTACCGCAGACACAAACTGCCTTACAGATGCAACATACCCATAAGGCCCATTCAAGTTCCAGTGTCACTCTCTTCCTCAGACTGGTGAACAAGCAACATCTTTGCTGGAACTGCAGGCTGAACATCTCCAACATTTGAATGGTCTGTATTTATCATTTTTCCCTGCCAACTAGTCAATCTCAACATGGTGGTGATCAGTTGACAGCTTATTTTACCGAGTGAAGAAGAGATGTGGTCAAATATCTAAGGACAATTGTTAAATAAACACTGACCTATGATCCAGGGGAACTTAGTGCCAGAAATACATAAAGAAAACTAGAATTGTATTAATTATGGACTAAAACCAACAGGCATAGCATTACAGCACAAACAGAAATACTTTCTAGACAGTTCTGCTTGATGAATGAACACAGGGTGCCAATTGTGATAGCTATAAGGTCATCAGCTGAGAGCCAACAGTGATGACAGAAGTTCAATAACACAGTGCTACTCTGGCAGTGAATTTAGATCTGGCAGTGTGTCTATCCCTATCATTGCCTAGATGATTGGTAAAGTCCCCCAGTAAGTCAACCAAGTCCCTGGATGGGGTACCTTGAACCAACAAAATACCCCCAAAAAGTTGGGTAATTGGAAATGCCGCAATGCATAACAAAACATGTCTTTACATTTCCTAAATCCAAATGAAGATTATACTCATAACATCCATCCATTATATTTACCCGCTTCTTCCTTTCTAGGTCATGGGGGGGGGGGGGGGGGGGGTCACTGGTTTCCATATCCATCAGTCAATGTGTGAGGGGCGGGGTACACTCTGGACAGGTCTCAGTCCATCACAGAAAGACATAGAGACAAACAATCATTCACTCTCACACTCACACCCAAGGACTAATTTAGAATTACAAATTAGCCTATCAAGCATGTTTTTGGTCTGTGGGAAGAAACCAGAGTACCAGAGTACAGAGTGCAGATGACATTGTGATATGTGGTGAGAACAGGGAACAGGTGGAAGAGAACTTGGAGAGGTGGAGGTATGCACTTGAAAGAAGAGGAATGAAAGTCAGCCGTAGTAAGACAGAGTACATGTGTGTGAATGAGGGGGAGGCTGGTGGAACAGTGAGGCTATAAAGAGCAGAGGTCACAAAGGTTCAGGGCTTCAAGTACTTGGGGTCCACTGTCCAGGAACATGGAGAATGTGGTAAATAAGTGAAAAAGAGAGTCCAGGCAGAATGGAGTGGATGGAGAAAAGTTTCATGAGTGATTTGTGACAAAACAGGTGTCATAAAAGGTCAAAGGAAAAGTTTACAAGACAATGGTGAGACCAGCTATATTGTATGGTCTGGAGACAGTGGCATTGGCAAAAAGACATGAGAAAGAACTGGAAGTGGCATAAATGATGATGCTAAGGTTCTCCTTAGGAGTGACAAGGCTGGATACGATTAGGAATGAGATCATCAGAGGTGCAGCACAGGTTGATCAACTGGGAGATAAAGTTAGGCAGGCCAGACTGAGATGGTTTGGACATGTCAAGAGGAGGGACCTTGGGTATATTGGTAGAAAGATGTTAGAAATGCAGCTGCCAGGAAAAAGACAACGAGGAAGGCCAAAGATGAGATATATGGATGCAGTTAGAGAGGACATGATGGTAGTTGGAGTGAGGACAGAGGATGCAGAGGACAGAGTGAGGTGGAGGAGGATGACTCGCTGTGGTGACCCCTGACGAGGGAAACGCTGAAGGAAGAAGAAGAAGAAGAACGTAAGAAACCAGAGTACCCGGAGAAAACCCACATATGCACAGAGAGAACATCCAAACTCCACCCAGAAAGGTCCGCAGCCAGGATTCAATCCGGCAACTTCCTTGCTTCGAGGCAGCAGCTCTAAAAACTGTGCCACCATGTCACCTATACTCATAGCAATCATAGGAAACTCCAACATTTGATTGAGAAGACAGGAAACTACAAGTTGGACTAGGAGGCCCTTTCAGGAGACTGTATGTTGATTTCTTACTAAGCCCATGGGAGATGAGTCCAGTTGTATCTAGACAATATTTCAACTTCTCACTCAAGCTTGGGCTCCTCTGTTAGGTAGAGCAGCATTCTATGCCCTTAAATATTAATTATAAAATATGTCCATTATGTGTTTCAGCAATTTCCTGCAGGATCAGTAAAGTTATATGTTATCTGATCTTATATAATAAGTATTGTTTTATTTCTTGCATGTAACAGATGGCGAACCTCAATTGTGTTATAACTGAGATTGTGTTTCATTGATGATTGACATGAAAATTATTTCATGCCTCACTACACTGGACAGACAGCTATCTGTTGATGCAGCAGTCACTCCGGAGTATGTTTTCATTGCAAACCAATTTCATAAACACAGGGTAGAAAAAGGGATTTGCAGCATCCCATATAAATGCATAAATGTGATGTGAAAAAAAATTAATAAATAAAACTCCAGATAGATGCATTGATTGCTGACAGAATGTTTAGCAATATTCATACCTAATTACTCATACTATTTTTTTTTCAAGATTCAGAAATAACCTAAACAAATACGTTTACTTTTTCTGTGTTACACAAACATTAGTTTGTGTCATTAGAATACTTTTTTTTTCCATTTTTGAAAAAAAGAATGACCAAAATAAAAAAGAGATAATGGAAGAAAAAAAAGGAAGAAAAACAATCCAAAAAAGAAATAGACAAACATACATAGTAAATTACCATATGAGAACGCCATACCCCATTTGAAGAGAACATTATTCAGTAAAAGTGAACAAAACATTTTCTAAAATATATATTGTTTACTTTACTTTGAAAAATGTCACCATTTAATTAATTTCCAAGGACTGCCTACATATTAGATATTAAACAGACCCTTACTTAACCAGTCCCTTTGCTGTCAGAAATGTCCATTAAAAATGTACTTCACAAATCAAATTTTGATTGTTTTTTATGTCATCCACCAGTGTAAAAAAAAAAGAAACTTAAATATAGGATTAATCTAGCAATAACTGATCACAAGAGGATGGCATTTATCAATGCTAAATAACTTTCCTTCACATTAGGTTAACTACTTACTTGTGAAGTGTAAAGACCTACCTTCATGTAAGTATCTCAGCATTCTCAAAAAAACTTTCTTGTAGCAATTTCATTCTATCATGGACCCTATTTTTCTTATGCAAGTTTATACACCAATGCAAACATTCATTTTTATAAATAATAAACATGTGGCCAGTTTTGGATAATTTGACAATATTCATGTGTCTAAAAGCTCATAAACATTACCCTTGTATATGTAAAACCCTGTCTGAGTCAGACGGTAACTAATTAATAGTTTGCAATAAAAGCTGCCTGGCAGGATGGAGTTCCTCACAAATTGTTGGCTACGCAAGAGAGTAATTAATGGGGGGACTCAGAGTTTAATTAGGGAAATATGGATGATTAACATCTTCACCTTTCCTCAGTGATGAGGTTCAAGAAAAATATAAGGAAGGGAAGAGAAAGAAGTCTTGATATTGGGCAGAGGACAGTTTGAAATGCTGCTAAATGTGATGACCCCAACTAAAATTATATGCATCTGATAGATAGATCACTTTAATTCTAGACCACATATTCTATTTAAAAACAAGAACAAAAAGTCCTGCTGCAGATACTGTATGTCCAGTGTAGCTGCATTAAAAACAATGTGCCAGCCCAGCTTTTACAAACGGGAAAAAGATAAATGTTGTAGGCTCAAAATTTCAAATTGCTCTCGTATGAAATATTTGGACCATTTTCATTTTGCATTTCACAAGTGGGAAGGCGTGAAGGACACTTACGCTCCTGACAGATGGTTCTTGATAATGCCTGTTCATTTCTAGAAGATAAATAAATAAGCAGTAAGCTCCCACAGCAAGAGTGTGGAAGATGTGTTGGGGGATGGGTGAGAGTGGATGTGTAATACTCTGCCAGTCTCCCTGTATAAGCAAAGGAAGGGAATGTGCATTCTGCTCCCTGTGGGAACTTTCCAGAATGGCAGAGGATGGTGGTTGTATTGAACAGACACTTTTTCTCTTCATTCAATTCCAGCCACCTAAAACCAAGATGCAATTACACGAGATCTTGTTTGTAATATAAAGAGATTGTTCCTTGTTTAGATGGAGGCTGTCAGCAATTACAAAGCTTTTAAGCATGGACACTATATGACACCTAACATAAAAATAAAGTGTCTTTGAAAAAAGCCAAAGCAAAGAAAAGAACAAGAAAGCAAAACATTGCTTTCAGATTAACTTAGACAGCTGCAATTAACACTGAGTGAATACCAACAAGACAAGGTTTTCATGAAAACAGAAGTTTAAAAATGCACCTCATCTATACCAATGTGTGAAAAAGTGGCTTGAAACAGCTGTTGCAATTTAATTCTGATGGCTGACAATGTCAAATACAAACTAGGAAGATACACATTGAAACAGAAAACTAACACCCGCAAAACACACCAAATTTGAACATGGCATAAAAAAATATGAAAAACCATCTACCATATTGTGCACAACCATCCAAGGATACCATATAGTCAAAAAAAACTAATGCTCTTGGGGAGAAAAAATAAAGTATATATATAAGTGTCTGTTTGCAGTGCAGAAACTGGGTTTTATGACTTATTAATGTACAACATGGGAAAAATTTGGCAATATGAAATGCACTTACTTTCTGAGATGATAGCTCTTCCAGTCCAGTCATCATTAATAACCTGTATATTTCCATAATGGGCATCGCTAAAAAAGATGCGGTTGGTTCCAGTGCTGGCCTGGTTGTAGTCAAATGCCAATGCTATGACATTCTTGAAAAAAGCTGGATTTTCAAAGGGCTGGATGGGTGAGTTGAGGTCGTTTTCATCTGAAAGGTGGATGCTTTTCAGTATAGTCCTTTCGGAGTAGAGTAAATAACCTTCATAGCGCTCACAGGCAAAACCATCGTCTGCCAAGCGGCCGTGGGCGCAGGAGCAAGTTCGGCGACCGCTGCCCAGGTGAAAGCACAACTGTTGGCAGCCTCCATTATTCCTGGCACAGGGGTTGGTGCCTTCAAAACAAAACACATGTTCCGTTATTGGCTTGCTTTAGTTCCTGCTTTACGCTGTCAGCTTTAATTTGTCCTGCCTATGCATGACAGACACAAACTCTGTGCTAAGCCAAATATAACCTCATGAAAACATTTAAAAAATCATTTGAAATGTTACAGAAAGTAAAATTGCAATTGACTGTAAAGTTAGATCATACCCTTTTCTCTGTCTCTATTGAAAACTGTCACATCTTTCAAATTGACCCCAAGGCCACTCCTCATGGTTGTGGGCTCATTGGTGTCAGTCTTAAAAGCTCGACGGATTGAACCATTGGAATGGGCCCTGGGTACCATAAATAAAGAAAACAGCAAACATAATTTAATTTTCAGAGATTATGCTGTATTTGAGAGTCAAGTCAAAGTTGGATAAACACAATCCAATAAAGAGGACAGTTTTTTTTCAAAACTGATGGCAAATAAAATGAGTTTAAACACTGACCTTTGACTTAACTAGGGCAACAATCTTCATAAAACAGTAATTCTAGGTTTTAGGATGAATGTGGTGGGTAATGACAAAGATGTTTCAGGATTTAGAAAACTACATTGTAACTATGACTAAGAATAATTGCTTCTCTAATATCTTCATATTAGACCTTTGTCAAGACAGGCTGATGTAAAGTATATACAGACTTTGCAGGCCAATGCAAGAGAGTGCATTTAGGAAAATAATAAATTACCTGTCAGACCAGTAGATGTAAGGCCCAAACACAGCCACTGAGAACAGGTCTACATTGGTCGCCGACAGCACAATCTCCCGGCTCTCACCTGTTTCAAGGTTGATCCTCTCGATCTTATCAGTGCGTGCGTCGCACCAATATAATGTATTTTCCTGCAAGGTAATTTCCAAATGCATATCAAAAACAGAACGCTTTAGTCAAAGTCATCTTTCACCCTCAAAGAGTGAGCTGAGGCAAAGGCTGAGAATATGAAAGGGGAAGTAGCTCAAGATAATGATTGCGCTTCCATGTTCAACTTTACCTCAAAATCTATGGCAATTCCATTTGGCCATGTGATGCCCGAACTGACCAAAGTTACTTGGTCTGAACCATCCAGGCGAGAGCGGCCAATGCAAGGGTTTTGCCCCCATTCAGTCCAGAAGAGATATCTGTCAATCATGATAAAAATTAAAATATAGTGTGATAATAATGAACATGATTTGGCAGACCTATATTTATGTAAAACAATATAAAATAAAATGCTGAAATTTCACATTACGTAAAGTTTGAAATGCTATTTAAATTGGTTTTGATTACAATGGCAATTTTCCATTGGGCAAACTATGTCTTTACTGCACAATTGTTTATAATTATTGTAACTGTAAATACATAAGCTCATCTCCATTTGTTTAAAAAAAAATACCCCCCCCCCCCTAAAAAAAAATCTAACAAACAAAAAAACATGTTTTTGTTTTAAGCATAGTACTCCTGTGATTAACCAAAAACATATAATAACATACTCCTTGTTGGAATGCAAGAAGTGGATAGTCTATACCTTTCAGATGTGTTCTTTGCAAACTTAAATCACGGACCTGTCTCATCTCGTTTTTTTGTTTTTTTTGGCGTTTGACTTCTATCTTACTGCTAAACTTGATTTGCATTCTGTGATTATCTTATGCTCACCAAAGTTATCATACCAACACAGAATAACTGTTTGCTATAAGTTTAGTCTTTTGTTCTGTTTAGTCTGCTTTAATTTATGAAGACAACTTTATGTAAATGCACCCGTAAGCAAAATTTCTTCATTCAAAAAAAACTTACTTTATAATTTGTGTGAAAACTTTAAAATTCAAAATACACAAATGTAGCAAGAAGCCAAGCTGATTTTATCTAATGGAAACAGACAGAACACAAAGAAAAAAAACAACAAAACAATATACATATCTAATTATAGAATGCTAGAGAAAGTTATCATACCAACGCAGAATACCTGTTTGCTATAAGTTTAGTATTTAGTTCTGTTTAGTCTGCTTTAATTTATG